TTTTCATATGGCACAATGGTACGATTCACCATCCGCAAGCTCGGCAATCTTTGACTGACAATGCCTCAGGCGCCGGGTACGACCAAATTGATATTGCTGCTTGCAGCAACCGTGCCTTCCTCGAGAATAAACCTCCCATACGCGTTTCCAATACACCGACCGCTGTCGACCGATGCCACGGCAGATATTGGCATCTGGCTCATGCTCGGTGCTCTACGCAACCTGAACAGTAGCATTACCTCGCTGCGGAAAGGAGAGTGGCGTGGCAAGAGGCTGCCCGCCCTCGGTCACGACCCCCCAGGGAAAGGTCCTCGGTATCCTTGGCATGGGCGGCATTGGTCGCAACATGGCCCGCAAGGCCCGCGTCTTTGGCATGCAGATCCAGTATCACAACCGCAAACCCATTGCCCCTGAACTGGAGGCGGAGTGTGAGGCCCGGTACGTCAATTTTGACGAGCTACTAAAGACGAGCGACGTCATCAGTCTCAATCTGCGTCTGAATGTAAGTATATCCTCGTTGGTGCATTGCATTTGTTGCCTGGCTGACTTTGCAACTCCAGGACAATACTAGACACATCATCTCGACCCCGCAGTTTGATATTATGAAGAAAGGGGTGGTCATTGTCAACACAGCGCGAGGTGCCGTCATCGACGAAAACGCGCTCGTCGCCGCTCTTGACGAGGGTCATGTTGCCTCGGCCGGCCTCGACGTCTACGAAAACGAGCCGCAAGTTCACGAGGGTCTCCTTGCCAACCCCAACGTGCTGATAGTTCCACACATGGGCACGTGGACTGAAGAGACACAGACCAAGATGGAGGAGTGGACCATATCCAATGTTGTGTCGGCCATCGAACGAGGGGAGCTGCGCAGCATAGTACCAGAGCAGAAGATCCCCGTCGCTGGACCCTAGGGTGGACCACAGCCTTACTGGGAGAGCCCCCGCGTTGTCAAAGATGGCTGGATACGGCCACTAGAGGTGCCGCGTGGTTTTGCACCTCATCACGACCTGAGGACGATACGGACTCCGGACATGTGGATATATGCTCGACTGGCTCGAGGGTGGGTGCTCACGGGTCTACCTAGCAAAGACTATGCCTTGCCCCCGGACATTTTTGCTCACAAGTTGGCAACGGGTGAGGTTAAAAGGTGCCGTCAAGCCGGCCCGGCCTTGGGCAGCTGAGGTGGTTCAATACAAGACGTGGTGTTGGCAGAAGACGTCAGGGCGCGTAGGACGACCTGACCGTGTCGTTGAGGTGGGGACAAGAATCCAAATACTTAGACATGCTCCTCGTAAACCCCCCCATGAACATAGCAGGTAGTCCTAGGTCGAGCAGGGTTTGACAACGAATCATTAATTTTCGTAAAAGTCATTACAAGTCCTCTGACACTACTGATGGTAAAGGTGGCGGTCAAGCCTCACACGTGGCAAAAGTGCTGGTGTTGTCACAGTCTATTAGCTGCTAAGGGGCGGCCACGGTTGACGGGCCTGGGTATGTTATCGCCAGCCTGCGCGCTCCGCCTTGTATCTCAACGGCGCGCACAGTGCTCTCATCTCTCATCCGCCAAGCCCTTGACGGATGTACAAAATCAAAAGCAATTTGACAAAGGAAACCATGGAAAGCGCCACGCCGCTGCGTAGTGTCTTGCTCTTCTTTGGGGGGGAAATCACTTGCTACCGCATAGCCAACGCCTTTTTTGTTGAAAAAAGATCCCGCAGCCCAGCCCGGCCCGGCCCGGCCCTGTGCGAGTTTTTGGATTCCGTCCCAGTGTGTAAATGCGGGGGGGTCCCCCTTTTGCCTTCCGTGTCCCAAAAGTCGTGCGTGAGCAATGTGCAGTCGTTGAAGTCATTAGTCGGGGTTGTTGAAGAAGGACGCGTGGGGGTTGATGATATGTGGTTGTTTAGTAGCGGTAGCTGGACACGGAGGATTAGCAAATGATCAAAAGGGGTGAGGATGGAGGCCAGAACATACATGTCGCTCTTGTAGGGACCCTCGACAGTCAGGCTGAGGTAGTCGGCCTGGACCTTGGTGAGGGTGCTGAGCTCGACGTTGCAGTGCTCGAGGTGGAGACGAGCGACCTCCTCGTCGAGGATCTTGGGGATGACGTAGACGCCGACCTCGAGCTTGCCGGCCTTGGCGAACTCGACGTACTTCTCACCCCAGGCCTTGTCGCCGCTCTTGTACAGCATGATCTGGGCGAGGACCTGGTTGGTGAAGGAGCAGGACATGACGAAGGAGGAGTGGCCGGTGGCGCAGCCAAGGTTGACAAGACGGCCCTCGGCAAGGAGGATGATGTGGCGGCCGCTCTTCATCTCGAAGCGGTCGACCTGGGGCTTGATGTTCTGGACAGCCTTGGCGTTGGCCTTAAGCCAGGCAACGTCAATCTCAATGTCAAAGTGGCCAATGTCTATATCGGGGGTCAGCAAAAAGTCTCATGCGATTTGCAGGATTGGGGGTTAACATACTGCAGACAATGGCGTCGTTGGGCATGGCCTCGAAGTGCTCGCCGGTCAGAATGTCACGGCATCCGGTGGTGGTGACGAAGATCTGGCCGAGCTTGGCAGCCTTCTCCATGGTGGTGACCTGGTAGCCGGCCATGGCGGCCTGGAGGGCGTTGATGGGGTCAATCTCAGTGATGATGACACGGGCACCCATGCCGTGCAGGGCCATGGCGCAGCCCTTGCCGACATCACCGAAACCGGCAACGACAGCGATCTTGCCAGCGACCATGACGTCCGTGGCACGCTTGATGCCGTCGATGAGGGACTCACGGCAGCCGTAAAGGTTGTCAAACTTGGACTTGGTGACAGCGTCGTTGACGTTGATGGAGGGGACGAGGAGCTTGCCCTCCCTCAGCATCTTGTAGAGGTGGTGGACACCGGTGGTGGTCTCCTCAGAGACACCGTAGCAGCCCTTGAGCATCTCGGGGTACTTGGAGTGGACGAGGGCAGTCAGGTCACCACCGTCGTCGAGGATGAGGTTGAGCTTGCCGTCGTCCTTGAAGGCGGTCAGCTGCTGCTCGAGGCACCAGTTGTACTCCTCCTCGGTCTCGCCCTTCCAGGCGAAGACGGGGACACCGGCGGCGGCAATGGCAGCGGCAGCGTGGTCCTGGGTGGAGAAGATGTTGCACGACGTCCAGGTGACCTCAGCACCGAGCGAGGTCAGCGTCTCGATGAGGACGGCCG